TAACCGCCTCCCGGTTAGCTCAATGGATAGAGCGCTGGACTGTTGTGCGGGAGGTCGAGGGTTCGAGCCCCGGCCGGACCAACACTCAGGGTCTTAAAATAATTGAGAAGAATTTGCTACCTTTCTATAACATCAAGAAATGGTTAGATATTCTAGTCTTCTCGGATAGGGACGAATAAATGGAGGTCCCGTCTCCTGCAGGGTTGGGGTAGGAGACGTTAATTTCCCACACACGAGATTACTGTGTGATGGATGTCCTCCCCTGGGGTGGGATGGGTGGGAGGGTGGACTAGCACGAATGGTTCCTATGTTCCTTTCTAGTCCTTCCCCACTGCAAAACTTAATGCAGTGAAAATGGACTAAATTAAACTAAATTAAACTAAATTAAATTAAATTAAAATGAATAGTTATGTACACGACGATACAGTCATTTAGTGTATGTTCTAAAACCTTCGAGTTGAATTTGATACAACGCAAATGACCCGTGTAACTATTTACTTACCCATGTAGAATGGCTTCTGTGTTAAGTGCCAAGGGTATTGCATAGATGATAACTCCGAGTGAAATTTCACCGGTTTGATTTAAGTAACCGAACACGGTAGTCAGAGCGCCGAACGATAGTAAGATCAGGATATCACCAAGTGCCATATATTTTAAGCCGATTCCTCCAGTATAAATGAACGAACTCAGTACTCCGCATAGAAACAGAGCAATCATCGGCAGAGTGTTTCCATCTGAGCGGAGATAAACGGCAACAAAGCACATGATTCCCATTATATAGGACTCCGTAATACATGCTACAATCTCATTTGGTGAAAGCGATTTATCGATCAAAGTTTTGTCGTCAGAATCCTTTGTATCGAAACCGTTGATAAAGTCATAGTACGTGTTTACCAAATTCCCAGCGCCGTGAATAGATAAAACTGTTGCAATGGTAAAGATCGCTTGGATAATGTCGATACTATTATTTTCTTTCCACGCGAGGCAAAGTCCAAGCAAAGTGCTTGTTACGGACGCCGAGAAAGACCACGGACGTACGGCCAAAATTATACTTGTAAGCTTTTGTGACCATCGCTCGTTGCTGAAGTAATTCATGATTTGAACCTTTGAGGATTTTGACGATCAGATTTAGTATTGAAAGAAACAATGTAACAAAGAAACGATCTGTCAGAGGACCATTATCTGCTCAATTCACCATGTGGCTGAATTTGATTCGCACGTGTCTAATGATTTGATCAGCTTACACAGCTGTCAACGGAAGTAAACCTGCTGGAGCAGTATTCTGTGTAAGAGGGGAAAAGCTCCCTTAGGGAAAACTACAAAAAGTATCAGTTAGGAAATAATAGGTAATAATAAGCAGAAAAGCATGTTTCTTGCCATGAAGAATATTTAAACGTATCAGAGGAAACTAGTTCAATGGGCGTATAGTTTAAAAAATCTCAATTTGATTAGAAACCCAGGGAATTCAAACTCCTAGTGGACTCAAAAGATCAAATCTAACTCCTGATTTTATGATCTGTACCATTATTTGAGAAAATAACCAGTACGATATGTGTGATCAGTACTAAAAGTACGAATCGTACCACGGTAGTATTAACCACCATACTGCAATGAAAACAAGGCATGTTCTGAGCTGTAAGATCTAAGCGCTTGCTAATTATTTTTCTTGTTATTCACATTTCTTCATTTTGTCCGGTAATTTTCATACCTCCTCGTTAATCCTTTTTGTTTAGTTTGTTTGCGTTGTACCTTTTTTGCACGTTTCCCATACCGCACGTTATTTTGCACTCCTCTTGTATAAAAAGCCAGTTTCTTTTAGGGGTTATCATTTTTTTTTAAGCCACCTGAAGTCGTGCTTGGCGCAGTTCTTTGTTTAAAAGTCTACAAGTTATTCGTTATTGCAGTTTTATAGTAGGCGTTATCAATTTGTAACCAACTACTACTACTACTACTACTGTTTCTCTGTAAATAAATATTTCGAGTTATAAAGATAATGCTTTCGCAGTTATATGAGCCTCTGCGGAAATTTCAGCATTTTACCTCCTAAGGTGGCCTAGATTCATTTGAACCTCAACCTTAACTTTGTAGTTTTATAGGAAGTGGCATACATAACCCGATAACTGAGGTTTTCGTTTCATTGGTCGTGAAGTGCAATCCATCTCACCGTAGATCAGAAATTCAATCTCATATTTTTCTAGTCTTCTCGGATAGGGACGAATAAATGGAGGTCCCTTCTCCTGCAGGGTTGGGGTAGGAGACGTTAATTTCCCACACACGAGATTACTGTGTGATGGACGTCCTCCCCTGTGGTGGGATGGGTGGGATATTGGGTGTACTTAGTTTGGAGCCGCGCTCTGTTATGCGACCCTCACCACACTCTGGTGAAAGTGATTAAATAAATAAATAAGGCGAAATTCTGTGTCGGTCACTTGCAGAGGTTTAAGGGTTTATTAATAGTGTCTGGGAGGTTTAATTCAGCTGACCATCAAACATTTCTCATTCTTTTTTTTTTTTGGCATCATTACTCTTTTGGACTACGAACCTATGAGAAAATGATAGAAACTTGAATTGTCTGGTTTTATTTTTTTTTTTTATGTCACATGTGGCTTATGTGTTTCAGGTGCTTGTTCTTAAGGTTTTTTTCTTTTTTCTCCTTTGTGACCAGTAAAGTATATACTGGTCGTGAAAATACCCCAATTATTTGCCCTTAAGTCCTCTTAATGCGATTGTAATGTTGAATCAGAGACATCTAAAAGGACGTCCGCATAGAAGTTATCTGAGCATTGCATCTGAAGCTATTGGTATCATTTCTTATCAGGGGAACTCCTTACTGGACACGGCTTGCAAAACATTTGGCTATCAAGAATTAAAAAACTTACAGGTGTGTTACCAATGACAAATGCTAATCGATTAAAAAACGGTAATTGCCTTGTCCTTTCAGACTTTACCTTTACTTGCTTTATTTCAGGTCCAACTCGAGAACAAAGGCATTTTTGGTCACTTTGCTGTTATGTTTGGCTTCATGTGTGGCTTGTTAAACCTCTCTGTGATCCAAACTCAACAACTTTTCCTTTTCTCGACTCTCCGAACGGTAATCGCTAGTGCTGTGAGACTTGGTAATATTGGACCGTTACAGGTACAAGTAGAACGTCAGTTTTTGTGAAGCCACGAAGAACAATGCAAGATCAATGTATAACAATAAGTGATTACCACATGTGTGGCCTTATCTCCTTTTATCCCACTTTCATCTGGTATCCTTCGCAGCCGATTTTATTTTTCGGAAGGGTTTTTTTTTTCTGAAAGGGGAGGATGTCAATAATGATTTTCCCTTTTCTCTGGTGGAGGGGAATCGCTGCGTAGATCCT